AACTAAAGACTGCGGAGCCCGCGATGTAGCCCAGGGAACGCATCGCACCGACGCTACGGGGGAGGGAACTCGACGCTTTGGTCGTTCGATATGGTTTTGGTTTCGACCTCGGTAGTCGGACAAGTCTGTCGAGGGATCGGAAAAGTGAAGGACAAGAAGAACAAGGGAGATGAGAGTGCGACTGGAGAAATGGATAGAGAAGAAAACGTGTCTCAACGTGATTGATCCTTGATTGATTTTTAGATATTTTCTAGTTTCGGGGATTTTATGAATATTAAAAGTGTTGCCATAGAATAGGATGAGTTCACTCGATGAGATGAATAGGATCAAAATGGATAAATAAGATCTTTTTTTCTTTTTTCTCTTTTACATAGCAAAAAGACATGATTAAATTATTATATATAAATATTGTGAATATAAATGTGTAAAATTCATTTTATGTTTATCTCCTTTCTTATTTAAATTATGTCATTTGTAATGTTAAGTTGTAAAAAATTATTATACACTTTTACGTAACTTATGAATAATGGCATCTTGAAATTGAATGCCAGGATTGAAATTAAATGTCAGGATTGATTTACTTTGCAACGTTAAACGTTTGAGAAACGTATGATTTCCATAAATCATCTGCTGTAGAAGGAGTTAGAGAGTTACAAGTAATAGCAACAGGCCATTGTTTCAAGAATTTGCAGTTGAAAGAAAAGTAAAGGACAACAGGAAGATAATATTTTTAAGGATCGAGCTTATTTTACATAAACATTTTTTTTTATAAATTGCGTCGATGATTCTATAGATATTAAAAATGATGACGAATGCTTTTCATGTCTTTATCTTATTAAATTTATAAGGACTAACAGAGTAAGGTAAAGTTAGCGGCATATTCACAACTAAGTAAACTCGCCGTAGGGGTCGTAAGACATTAAAATAATCGATATCCGCTCAGATCCTAGACTTTACTCGAGCGGTTTAATCCTCGTCGTTATAATATCAAAAATTTCTCCTTTCATTTATTTTAAATATTCTTACGTAGAAAGAGAAGGCTTTTCGACACGTACATACGTTCAAATTCCTCTCGTTGACGAGCCAAAGTCTTCCGACAATGCAATCGCGATATAATTTGTAAATGATTCGTTTAATGATATTTCTTTCGACCTTGATAGAAAAACATATCGCTCAATACCTACGTGCACACTCTAAATGCAGCGCTTCGACAAACCGTAGAATATGATTTAAATGAAACCTTGAGACGTTTAATTTTAACCGCATCGCGAATCGAAAGTTATTTTTATTGAGCGCTTCTCGCCGGACACAAATTCTGTCGCTACGGATATTTCCCCGACTAATTTCACTTTTGCATTGACCAAATCTGCGTTTCTACGACAGCTCGGTAATGCAATATAACGCCATTAGATCACTGCGATTGATTGTTATACTCACAATGGTATTCACGGCAAATAAATTTAAATTCATTTATCATATTCAGTTGTTCAATTGGCCTAATTAGAGATAAGCTTATTAGAAAAGGATTGACATAATTCTCCGAGTTTGTCTCTACATATGAAGAGATAAAAAGAAGAATTTTACAAGCTTAAAAATAAAAATTAAATTTGTTTTAAGTTTATAAAGTAAAAAATTATTTATTTATTACAATGTGTTGTCAGTCTTTTTTCTCTATCAATTTAGACTCTCTTTATTATTTGAGTGACACACATTAGTATTATTAAATCAGTTACTGCAAAAATTCGGTTAGGCGCATTAGAGAGAAAGAAGAGAGAGGAGAGAAGAGAGAAGAGAGAAGAGAGAGAGAGAGAGAGAGAGAGAGAGAGAGAGTGCAGACGGGTGTATATTATTATAAAAACGTTGTACATTGTTTTAATCTGAATGTAAAAGTGCATTGCAAATATCTTGAATTATAAAATACACATTTTATCTTACAGTACAATATAGTGTATATATAGAAAATTTCATAGTTTAACCGGTTCTTATATATTTATATTAAATACACATCTTTACGTCAATTTATATACAACGGCTTTAATGTGTATCAATAATACGCACTGAGTGCTTCAATCGAATTCGCTATTATATATAAGTCAACTAGTTTTTTTTTTTATTATCAATATGTAACATACATTAGTCTTTTTTTAAAAATTCCTCGAAATTGAAACGACATTTAATCATATCAATTAGTGACTGAAATATTTATTTATGATTTCCTAATTAAATTCGTTCAAGAGTTCAATAATTTTTTAAAATTATATTAAAAATAACGCTTATATCTGTACAGGGCAAGTGAAACATGTTAAACTGCTATTATTATATCTCAGATACAATTACGTATATTTTCTGGTAAATGTTGTATGAATGAAATATTTTCGATAAGTATTTTCGATGAAATTGTTAAGTTTTTTTACTACTATCTTGTAAAGGGAATATTATTCATAACTATTTGATATAAAAAATTAGAATGATCTAGATTCTCTTTTATCAAATTTTATTTTTATTATTATAAAAGAACCTTCAGACCAATTGCACATATTTCAAATCTAAAAGCAGAATCACTCGCCAGTGAAAAAGAGATGGTCTTTTAAAGTATATTTATAAAATTTATAGAATTTCACACACACACACACAATACATGTTTGCTTTTAAAAAAAATCCGTTTGGTATAAGTCTCTTTTGTCTCTAATGAAGAGATAAAAGAACTTAAAAAGAACTAATCGCGATGAAAATTTCTGAAAATATTACTTAAATTAAATGTGTGTATTACTTAAATTGTTTTATAGAAATAGGAATTTTCAGTAATTGTAGGTAATGGTTGCGTTTTAATAGTTTTACAATCATTTTTAAGTTGCTGTATTTATGCTAACAGTATTTATTATATATTACACGTAAAATTATTATTATTATTAGTAAGTGGTAAACGGTAATAGCAATTTTGAAATGTCTCTTTTACTTTCATATCTATTTTTTATGAAATATATTCTGATATAAATTTTTTTAATATAGTAGCTACATTTATGATGCTATTATTATTGAAAAAATATAATTTGTCAATTATATTTTTATACATTTCCAATGATAATTAATTATATGATAATTATACGATTTTGATATGAAATTATATGAGAATTATATGATAATTCTCATATAATTAAACAAATGCACATTAATTTTAAAAACACGACGCAATCTTTGGTGGATTTGCTTAATCATTTTTGAGCTTAGAATACATGTAAAAAACAATAAAAAAGAACTCTTTAGAAACATCTGTTTCATTAGCTAAACACAATTCTGAAGAAACGGATCCAGACTTTATCAGAAAGGCGATGATTTATAAATATAGACGAAACTTGGAAGAAATATTGATCCATGAATATATAAAAAGAAACATGAGTTCGTACGTATTCTTGATATTATTCCCGCAGTTATATTTATAGATATATTCGCACTAAAATTGAGTGTGTCTACATGTCACCAGTAAGTATGAGAAATATGAGTATACAGCATGCCGATGCGGTCAAGTGTCGGGCAATGAAAACGAATGAAGAGAGAAATTTCAACGACGTAGCTCGCCACCTTCTTTAAATGTTCTATAGTGTCGTATTCTTACGTTTTCAGTTCATCATTTTAAACGCATTTTAAATATCTGCAAATAGATTGCATATCAGTTCTACAATAACACGTGTAATATTGCATGCGCGGTAAATAATACAATGTAATCACGAATACATTCATGTGCGTCGCATAGATTATACAATGCATTAAGCGAGTTAAATCTAAAATGTATATTATACATTGTATTTTAGAAACGCTAAATAATATTGGTTAACTTTCTGCCTTTGATTGCTATGATGCAAAATTATATGCAATTACTATATCCTATAGTAGATTATTATGACCTTTGGTTAGATTATTGAACAAATTCATTTTTTTTCATTCTTTTTGACGATAGAGTATTAATTTCTTTTAGAATGTATTTTTTTTTTATTCTTTGATTTCATTAACGAATTAATTAATTTATGATATCTTTCAATTCTTAAGAAATAGGACAAATTATGTCTTAATATAATTATATCTTAATTTGTTTATATACCATGATTTAATATTATTATAAAATAATTTACATAAAACAATTCAATTTCATTAATTTTTATACATATATATATATATATTATTGGTCAGTATTATTTAAATATTTATTTCACTGAATAATTGAATACCTTGAATTGAATTAATAAGAGTAGAAAAAGGTCTTTTAAAAAAAGGTACTACTTTCAACTTTTTTTGACAAATCTTACTGTGATACTGTTAAAAATTTTAGAAGCAGAGGTAACTGATGTGCTATATGCACTTTTTTAAAGTTGAAATCTTGATTTAATTTACTGTTTCTTCATCGACGCAAGAGACATAATCGATGAATGAAGTTAAACTTGATCTATTATTGAACGCATTAGAATATTCATGAAACGTTTTATGTAATGCGATTACTAGGAAACTTAAGACTGACTTAAGAAACATCCAGTAAGTTGTATTTTACTATTTTTTATATATATTATTTTGTATCATTCACTCTATAATATGACAATTGCGTTCGATTAATACACACGCTGGCTTATAGTTAAAAAGTTTTAAAGAATTTATTTTTTCATCTGTTGCTACATAAATATGTATGTATAAAAAGATTTTTGTATTAGAACTGCTTCGACACATTTTGATTCCTTCTAGTACAGGATAAAATACTTGTATTTCTAGTACAATAAAATATGAAAGAACGATAAGAAAATATATACTCTATAAAGAGAAAGAAACGTCCCATCTTAGTATTGTGAATATTAATTCACATTTATCACGTTACATCTCGACTACATTAGATAACGCCGCAATCCGAGATAAATGATGAAGATTCTCGCGAAAAGTTTTACAATGACCTTCGATGCTATTGAGAAAGATACATGAGGTTGGCAAATGTGTAGTGGGAAACATGTAATTTCACTCACCGTAGAATTCGGCATGCATCGCCTCGGCGGCGGCGGCATCGGATCCGGCGCGGCACGATAAGGCGGCGGCGAGTATCTCCCTGAGGGAAAGCATCCCGGGGCGGTGATCGGTGCCCCGTGGAGTCCCTTGCTCCCCATCATCTTGTCCGGTGAGTACATCATTCTGCGTGCCGCTAAGCCTATCCCGGCTTAGGGGTCCGCGGTTGATTCCCGAATCGGTACCCTCAGACGGAACGGTAAGCGTGACACCAGCAGCGACGGCTGCGCTTCTTGCTTCCAAGACGCATTCGCATCTGTGTGAAATGAAATTGTCTGGATGTCGAAGCGTGATTTCAAATAGAGTACGTTGTTCACACCGTTCACGTTTTCACCGTGCAAAGTGAGCCGAATCGAATGGAGCCACGTCCAGTCGAATCGTTTAGAACGCACCGATACGATAATCCGATATGATTAAGAGATCTCAGCACCTCCGCACGACGATGCACCCACTTATCGTCGAGAGAGATCTTGGCCGAGAGATCAGTCCATCTGTAAAGCGACGGAGAAGATTGGAGATCCGCGGCTCCACATCTCGATCGTCAGTTTAGACTGGACACTGATGGAACATCACCGTTCGCATAACTACACAGTCAACTAAGAAACACCTGTGTGCGTTATTATACCGATGACAAGCAACGATCACCAACGATCGCGTATTCGCGAGCACCTTCCTTTCCACGAAACTAAGATCGATTGCACCGCTACCAGACACTTCACTCGATGTTCACCAGGGTCCACCCTACGGCTCAACGTTCCCGCCAAAGAAGAGCCGCGGAAACCGATCGAGGCGATCCACTGAGCGGTGAAGTCACCAAATTTTTCGTGTCCCACAAGACTCCCGGGGGTGACACCGGTGGAGGGAGAGAGACGGAGCACCGGCTCGTCACTGCCATATACAAGGGTTTAAAGATTACGCGCAGGGTAGGACACGGACTCTTGTCCCGAAGCTCTGCACTTTTTGGCGCTGACTGGCCAGCGAGGAGCGTTTCGCGGATGAACTCTTCCAGGGGGATGGTAGGAGCGCTGTCCGTGTACGCGGTACTGGTGGGGTTGCAGCGGGGGTTGGTGGTCCTGGATGATGCGGCAGCGTGGCGCTTGCCCACGATGCTAGGGTTCGCGCTCATATACGGGAGGGAGAGCAAAGGGGGTGAGCTCGGTATCAGCCAGCAAAACGGAGAGCTTCGCCGAACGGGGGCGGAGCCTCGCGCGGTTACGCTTGCGCCCCTAATCTCATGCACGTCGGCCATCTTTGCCCTTGCTTTCAGGCCTCGCATGGGTGTCGCTAACCGCGACCACCCGTTTGTCCATCCTTCCTCGTGTGTGTTCGTCTCTGCGTAGGTGTATGTGTGCGTCATCCCTTCACCCTTCTACTTCTACGCTTTACCCACCACTACTACCACCACTGCCG